GTCTTCTATGGCATCATCTAGGGCCGGCTTCTCCAGAGGTGAGAAATACTTTCCCACATTGGAGGAAGCTCATCATGTGCAAGAGTTGATGTTAAGCAGTCAGATTCCTACTTTTCAGCCTGATTTCAGAGCCCTGCTTTGCCTGGGAGGCAAGGTGCCCTCACGTGCCACTCAGTGGCATCCAGTGCCCGGTGTTCATGAGATAGCACATGAATTGAAAGCAAGCACTTAGAAAATTGTGTAGCAGGTTGATATATTTTTGGAATCTAATAAAAACTTGGATGTGTACTTTGCAGTCTTCTCATTTAAAAAAATTTTTTTAATGTTTTATTTATTTCTGAGAGAGAGAGAAAGACAGCATGAGCAGGGGAGGGTCCGAGAGAGAGGGAGATACAGAATCTGAAACAGACTCCAGACTCTGAGCTAGCTGTCAGCACAGTGCCCAACGTGGGGCTCAAACCCACGAACTGTGAGATCATGACCTGAGCTGAAGTCGGACGCTTAACCGACTGAGCCACCCATATGCCCCATGCAGTCTTTCCATTTATTTAGAAGTAGTATATTTGTCTGCAAGGGATTGGAAATTAGAAAACAAAGACTGGCCTTGCACCACAGATGGTTTGAGGAGCACTGCTCAAGGCAGGGCCCCAGATTAGAGGCTAAGACCTTCTCCACGGTGCCTCCTGTTTCCTCTAGAGCTGGGTTCATCTTTCCTTATTCCCAAGTCCAAGAGTCCGGCTCTTTCTTCTTTTTTTAGTAAAAAAATTTTTTTTTAATTTTAGTAAAATTTAATCATTTTAAAAGTGTACATTTCAGTAGTGTTAAGTACATTCATGTGTTGTGCAACCAATTTCCAGAATTCTTCTCATCTTGCAAAACTAAAACTCTGTACTCACTAAACAACTCTTCTGTTCCCCTCTACGGAGTCCTGGCAACCACTGTTCTGCATTCTATCTTAGAATATGACTACCTCAATACCACACAGAAGTGGAATTCTATAGTATTTGTCTTTTTGTGACTGGCCTATTTCACTTAGCAAAATATCCCTCAGGTTCATGCATGTAGCATTTGTCGGCATTTCTTTCCTTTTTAAGGCTGAGTAATATTTCATTGTGTGTATATACCACATGTTGTTTACCCATTCATCTATCCACAACAGTGAGGTTGCTTCTTACCTTCAGACTATTCTGAATAATGCACTGAACTTGGGTGTACAAATATCATTTTAAGACCCTTCTTTCGATTCTTTTGGTCATATTTCCTGAAGTGGAATTGCTATATCACATGGTAATTTTACTTTTAGTTTTTTAAAGAACTGCCATATTGTTTTCCCTAGAGGCTGCACCATTTTACATTCCCACCATCACTGTGTAAAGGGCTCAGTTTTTCCACATACTGGCCAATACTTGTTATTTTCTGGGTTTTGTTTGTTTGTTTTTTGTTTGATAGTAGCCATCCTAATGGGTTTGAGGTGGGCTTATTGTGGTTTTGATTTGCATTTCCCTGTGATTAGTGATGTTGAGCATCTTTTTATGTGATTGTTAGTCTTTTGCTTATCTTATTTGGAGAAATATCTATTCAAGTCCTTTGCCCAGTTTTTTTTTAATTGTTTTAAATATTTATTTTAGAGAGAGAGAAAGAAAGAAAGTGTAAGCAGGGGAGAGGCAGAGAGAGAGAGAGAGAGAGACAGAATCTAAAGCAGGCTCCAGGTTCTGAACTGTCAGTACAGAGCCCAATACGGGGCTCAAACTCATGAACCAGGAGACCATGATCTGGTTCAGATGCTTCCAAGTCAGATGCTTAACCAACTGAGCCACCCAGGCGCCCCTCCTTTGCCCAGTTTTTAAATGTGTTGTTTGGATTTTTGTTGTTGTTGTTATTGTTGAGTTGTAGTTCTTTATTCTAGATATTAATTCTTTACTAAATATATGATTAGCAAATATTTTCTCCCATTTCATAGGTTGTTGCCTTTTCAGTCTGTTAGCTGTGTCCATTGATACACAGAAATTTTTAATTTGATACAGTTCAATTTACCTGTTTTTCTTTTGTGCTTTTGCTTTTGGCGTTTTATCAAAGAAATCATTGCCACATCTAATGTGATAAAACTTTTCCATAGTATTTTGTAGTTTTTGCTCTTAGGTTTAGGTCTTTGATCCATTTTGAGTTAATTTTTGCATCATGTAAGGCGAGGCCGGTTTTATTTATTGCATATGGTACAATTCTGCCAGCACCATTTGTTGAAAGGAGCCTACTTCCTTCACTCAGGTGTTCCCGACCAGGGCCAATAAAATGAAAGACAAAGTGATAAACCAGCACTGCTGGAAGAATTTGGGCACCAGTTTATACCTTGATTTTGGCAACTAGGGGAAGAAGAACCTGGCTATTTGAAAGCTAAATGTTATGATTTGATATTGCGTATACATACATAATATGGTTATTTTGCCGGCAATACTGTTATTTGTTTTAAAAAATGGAATTTAAAAAATAAAAAAATTTAAAAAAAATAAAAAATGGAATTTAAAATCCTAAATTTCATGGAGTTTTGCAAAGAGACCATTCTACCTTCCAAACAAATTCGTATCCCCTAAGTTAAAATACCTAGAGAGGACATAGGAAACTGCATGGTCTGGTTATTCAAAGGGACAGTCTTAAGTGATCCTTATATAAAGATTTACTCATTAAATTTTGCTGAGTTCAGTGCTGGGGAAAAAGATACCTCCTTTGAAAAATTAATATTTTTCCTTTTTCTTTATCTTGGCCACTAGGAAATTGAGTGTTGTATTATTATGTTTACTCTTTCATTCATTGGTTCTTCACCTTCTACTCAGTTGTTTTGATTTTCTTTATAAGTCATTTTATTGAGGTATAATTTATGTCTAATAAAATGCAAAATGCACCCATTTCAAGTCTTAACAAATGTATGCACTATGTAATCATCACTTCAATCAAGATGATATAACATTTCCATCCCCACAAAACATTCCCCATGCCTCTTTACAATTATTACTCCCTTTCTGGCCCCTGTGAAATAGTTCCATCGATTCTACGCCTTTCAAGTTAGCTACTAACCTGAAAAAAATACTTTTGGGAAGCAGGTGGAATATGAGAGTAGTGACTTAATTGAAATAGCCTTTTTAAGCTCTCAGCTCCAGTCTTCTTGTAATCTGTCATTTAATTTCTTTTTTTTTATATCCAATAAAAGCACCATTACAATTTCTTAGTACTCAAGTCTCACTGCAGCTAACTCTGAACTGGGGTCCTAGGAAGCACTGCCATATATTGTTATGAGACCGTTATTTTTTTCTCTTTAGAAATTAAACATCTAATTCAAAGGATTTTTTAAATGAGACAAATTTGTACCCGTTTGGGTTTGTCCATACCTAAGTAAGGGGTCCACAGCTTTGCCAGAAGATGAAATATGTAATGAGCCCCAGTTGCCGTATTGTAGCATACTGGAAGGCCAGGGGTCCTGCTTTCTAGTAATTCAGCACCTCATGACCTCTGAAAATCTACAGCTGTTTTTGGAAATGTTAGAGCTGTGACTTATTTGTAGATGTCATAAGTGTCTCAAAGTGACAAGAGATTGAACCGACTGGATTGTGTGGGGGGACACCTTGGGCTTGAGGTAGGTGTGTGGGTCATTAGAGAGACAGGAGTTGTAACTATCCTGCATGAGGAATTCTGGTACATGGCCTGCATCAGAGCAACGTGAGCTTGAATGTGGGTGGTATATACTTCTTCCCAGGATAATAAGAAAACAGCAACAAGTAATGCAGGGTTTTAGCCCTGTTTTTACTTGTCAAAGAAAAGGAATTGTTGTTGTCATTATTTTAAAATTCTGGAATTACCATGATATAATGAGTTGAGTTCAAGATGAAGTTGTGAGCCAAAATATATCATCTTCAGATATAATGTTTCAATATTTCCTTTTAATGTGATAGAGCTGTTTTTAGAAGGAAATCAGCAATAGCATGACCAAAAGAAGCATAAATTATAACCATTTGACACATTCTTGAAATTATTTTCTGTGTGAATGGTATAAAAAGGAAAGTCATTGAACCAGGTATGTTTACAAAGCAAAGTCCTAATGCAAAGATTGCTTGATGTACTGTTTGCCAGTATTACAGCAACGATACTCAGTGATGTATCCTAAAGTGCTTGACATTTCAGTGCCCAGGGTGCAGAGAGTGTCCATTTGTTTTGTTGTCTAGTTTTGCTGGCAGTGCTCAAATTACTATATATCTTCTCTCTTATTTTAGACTCATTAAATAAGAAAGCTGTTATCTCACATTCTCTTGTTGATGTGTACCATAATCACATATATTTGGACTATTAAGTCTAGGAACAATCTAGACAGCTATAAATAAAGATCATGTGTATTCTTTTTTCTTTTAAATTTTTATTTTATTTTATTTTTTTATTGTTTTTTTAAAGTTTATTTTGAGAGAGACAAGGACAGTGTGAGTGGAGGAGGGGCACAGAGAGAGAAGGGGAGAGAGAATCCTAAGCAGGTTCTGCACTACCCGCAGAGTTTGAAGAGGGGCTTGAATTCATGAACTGTGAGATCAGGACCTGAGCTGAAACCAAGAGTCAGATGCTTAATGGCCTGAGCCACCCAGGCACCCCAGATCATGTGTATTCTTGCTCTGTGACTATGTTTGGCCTCCTAGACAATGCCAATTAGCCTGAGTTTGAAGGAGAGGGTGGTTATGGATATGCAAGACTGTACTGAATTTGATACATTTTCACTTTATTTAAGAAAAAGATAGCATACATAGTCTGCTACAGAGAGAAAACCTTTAAAAGAATCTTTGGCTCTTTTCTTGCACATAATTAAATTTCCATTATCTTTCTCTTTGCCAGAAGTTTAATGATTAATATTTAATAACTGAGATATAATGGATTCCCAAATGTGCTTCCACTTGATGAAAGTAGCAAAGGTCTAATCTAATAAACACTTGCCGACTAAATTTTTCCTCTTTTCATTAACTTTCTTTTAGGACTCAGCCCAAAACCATGTTTGCCCAAGTTGAATCTGATGATGAGGAAACAAAGAATGAGCCGGAATGGAAAAAGCGTAAAATTTGAAGACTCTCACATGAGAGCTGTTTGCATGAGAGGGGGAGGGGTATTGGACAGGGTTTTTTTAATGAAATAAAAAATACATTTTTATGAGCAACTTTTGTACTTTGCATTATTGAACCATTCAAAAGATGGGTAGCTACCCTTTGCTACAATTGTGCTTACATATTGTTAACTACAACTATGAATTTGTATTATAAATGAGAAACAGATTCTTAACCTATTACCAAGAACTTTAGGTATTTGGAAACTTTATTCAACAGTTATTGGTCTTGTAGAGATTCTTATAACCTTAGGGGAGGGAAATGTACATAGAGATGGACATGTGTCTTGAGCAATTCTAGGAGCGTAATATGGAAATAGACATCAAATAGACATACACAGTATTTCTGTATAATTTCATCATAGTTGTTTACATGATTATAAATAATTAGGCTGTGTCAGGCTAAAAGCATTGTTGTACTAGGAAAGAACATGTATCTAATTATCCTTAAGCAGCAGAATACAGTGGTCAGGATTTAGGAAGCAGGCTTTGAAGTCAGTCCCATATGGGGTCAAACCTTGGCTTTGCCCTTCACTGTCTGGGTCACTTTGGGAGTTCTTAAACTTCTCTCTTCTAGCTTCACATGATGATAATACCACCCTCATAGTTTTGTTACAGGATTAGATGAGACCTTTAATTTAATTTAATATAGGACCTGGGATGTAGTAAATATATGATACATTATTTCCTATTTTAAATCAGAGTTAATGATATCTACTTTGCCAGATTTTTATCGCTATTAAGTTAGGAAAGCGTAGAAATGCTTTGTATATGTAAGAGCTATGTAATTAGGAGATAACAAAAAAAAATCATTCTAGGGGTACCTGGGTGGCTCAGTTTGTTAAATGTCCAACTCTTTTTTAAAAAATATTTATTTATATTTGGGAGAGCACAAGTTGGAGGAGGGGCAAAGAGAGGGGAACAGAGGATCTGAAGTGGTCTCTGCACTGACAGGCTGTCAGCACAGAGTCCAGTGTGGGGCTTGAACCCACGAAAGGTGAGATCATGACCTGAGCTGAAGTCAGATACTCAACTGACTAAGCCACCCAGACACTCCAAATGTCCAACTCTTGATTGCAGCTCAGGTGTTGATCTCAGGGTTGTGAGTTCAAGCCTTGTGTACTTAAAAAAAAAAAAAAAAAAAAAAATCATTCTGTAAGATCCTAGTGCTTTTGTGACCAGAAAACTAAAACAAAAGTTGGCAGTTTGTCCACGTAATAATGAGTCAATAGAATAAAATTCTGTGGCCTGGCTTCACACAGACCTAGGATAATTTTGCATGTCAAATAGTCCCTGCTAGAAAATTCAGGATTTTTTAGGCCTCTTGCCTTCTGCTCTTTTGCCCTCATTTATCCTAGTAAATTAAATAATTATAAAAAATGAATGATGATACAAAATGTATGTTGGAAAGTTGCAGGCCTCACATACCCACCCCCTCCCCAAATCTTTTTTAACAACTACTACTCACATCTACACAGCTTTCCTGCCCCTGCAGTTCTGAGACAGAAATGAACATTCCTTTATAAATACATCCTAAAAACCTTTCTTGTCACTTGCTCTCTATCCTTTTTCCTTTCCACCCCCATCTTCATTCCTATTCCCCTTCCCACATCACTTAGCTTATAGGTAATAGGTAAGAACTAACATTTGCTACATGCCTACTATCTCATGACTACCATTCTGAGCTCTTAACTTGTAATAGCTCATTAAATCCTCAAAAAAAAAAAAAATCCCATGAGTAGGTAAAGTTGCTTAACCCATTTTACAGACAAGAGAAGAAATTCAGGAAGTCAAGTGATCAGTCTGAGATAGCAGGGAGGGCTGTACAAAGACACCCAAGATTTCTAAGCATCAGTAATTAACAAACTGCCTCAAGTTTCATATTCCTGTTGAAATATACTTCATCCAGAATCAATTACAGACCAATATTTTGTTCCAACTGCTTAGCATTTGTAAATCTACTGTTTCTTGGATGAAATTTACTGAAAGCATTTCATATTTTTTCCCTGTCTTAACATAAACATTGCACCATAAGGAAGTATTCATCTTGCACAGCCAAAAGTTGTCGTGGAGGGTTGGAGAGGAGGGGAGAATAAAAACTTGATCATAGCAGCCTTGGTGGAGCCTGCCTATGATGTAAGGCGAGAGAAAGACAGATTTAGCATGAAGATGATTTTCTCATTGTTACCCGCAATACAAGTGGCCCTTTTTATGCTTGAGATGATCTATCTCACTTGAGAATTTTATAAAAAAAACTTTTTTTGTCCACATAAGATTGATAAAGGACCCATAGGCTTTTTGAATCAACTTTGGTGAGTGAGGACCTTAGAACCAGGACTGGATGAATAGTGGGTGCTCATTGGACCTGTAGTCCCATCACCAGGGTGGACATCTCTAGTTGGTATTCCATAGGCCTTCACACTCGTCATGGCCCTTGGGCCTCATTATCTTACCCCATGCAACCTTATATTCCCTATGTCCCTCAACTACACAAATAAGGGACATTGAAGTCATAATAATGACTTCTCCCTCACCCCCTCCCATGTAAACATTTGCCAGTTTTTATCCATGCTGTCTGCTGGCTCTCTTATATTTGACCTTCTCTTTCTCTTCTGCTCCCACTAGAATTTAGTTCCTCTTTTATCCCTTACTAGGACCTCCCAGGAGCCTCCCTCCCAACTAATCTCCCTGTTTTTTATTTGGTCCTCAAATAACATCTTTTATTCTGCCATCAGACTTAGCTTTCTAAAACTAAAACCTATCATTTCATCCCTCCGCATAGAGCCTTCCAGTGTCTGTGTGTGTAGTTTGAACCCATTTATGTGGCCTCTCCTTATCTTTCCTGCTTTAGCTCCTGCTGATGGTTTTTGCACATGGTTCTGAGTTCCAGCGACTCTGAACCTGGGAAGCACCTTGTTCTTTGCACCTGAGTCCCTTTGCACATGTTATCCCTTCTTCCTTCTGTGTCTGCCTGTTTGTTTTTGAATATGGGGATCAGTTTCACCTTTTCTGTGTGGCTTTCCATGACTCACCCTGGTAGGCAGTTAATTGCTCCCTCTACTCCCATGGTGACTTACTTAACTCTGCTGTAGCCTTCCTTTATGTTCATTGTAAGTGTATACATGTATGTGGCTTGTGGGCCTGAGTGTGTGTGTTTCCCACCCTGGGATGTACATTGTGAAAATGAAAGCACATTGGGTTCTGTGAATGTTCAATGAATTTGCTTAATGAATGAGAGGAGCCACATTTTATTCACATTTGTATTCCTAGACCCTAGTCCTGAGAAAGAGGATAAAGGGGTGCTCATTAAATATTTGGCAGAGGGAAAGAGAGAAACAGGGAAGGGTGAGGAAAGGATGGAAAGAGAATGAGGTATGAGAAGTGTTTCTGCCTCACCAGTGGGAAGAAGGATCACTAGCATGCAAGCTTCAGCTGTATCTGGGCTGCTTTGCCTTTCTCTGTCAGGGTCTATTCACTGATGACTGTTGTGATGGCTTAAGGAAGAAGCAGCACTGTAAACAGTTGCCTGTGTTGCACCTGGCATGGCCTAACGGGCCCTAAGCCACCGTGACATCCTCAGGCACTCACTTCCTATCTGGAATCACCAAAGATCTGAGATCTCTTGCATGGCGGTGCTTAAGCTAAGCAAGGTGTCTGTGAACCCCCCCAAAGTATGCAGCACACAGTGCTTAGGCTCACATACATTATTCTTTAGAGAGGATCCACAGCATTAATTAAAATTCTGGGTTATTATGTGCTGCTAGCAGCTCTTTCATCTCCCAAGACGACTGTGTAAAATTGGGCCATCCAGACTTGGGAATCAGGACATAACTGTCACACACATTCACATACACACAAAATACCAAACAGAACAGACTAGACTAAAACCACTAACACACTGGCTCATCTTTAATCTTAACCAGTTGGTCTTATTGTATTGTTGTCAGACCTTAATTTTTATCCTTTAAAGATGATCAGCCTTCTTTCCTGCTAACAGCTAAAGAGATGAGCTTTATGATTCCATGAAGGTGGCAGCCAAAGGTGAGACTTCTTTATGTGATCCCAGAATGAATATTAGGAGATTTGAGCCAATTTGAGAAAAGCTTTTAGGAATCGGTATTACTATTTTGGACATCTCTGTGCCCTTCAGTGTTTAATAACCAATGAGTCAGATGTGGTAGGAGAAAGGGAGGGTAACCAGATGCCTGCTTAGATGTGTACATCCAACCTGGGTCGGTAGCCCTTTAGAGGTGATATGCTTCATTCATTTATCAGTCTTCTTGTGTTTGAGCGGATCAGGAAATGGGGGAAGGCTGTTAACAGATGCCTTTTGAAAAGTATCTATCTTGAATGGAGGATACTACCACAAGCCACATGACCATGGCTCTAATTTTTACTCAACACTCTCATCAAAGAACTGATCAAGGGAAAGTGCCTAGAGATGGGAGATCTTATGTGTGTGTGTGCACGCATATAGATCTAGGCTATATAGGTGGAGAAGGGGCTTTGAGGGCTAAGAGTAGAGACATTTGCTATTTAAGTAATTTTCTGAATTATCAAAATTTCTATTGGGGGTCTTCAAAATTAAAAATTTTTTTAATGTTTATTTTTGAGAGAGACAGAGCGTGAGTGGGGGAGGAGCAGAGAGAGAGGGAGACACAGAATCCAAAGCAGGTTCCAGGCTTTGAGCTGTCTGCACAGAGCCCAACATGGGGATCAAACTCACGAACTGTGAGATCATGACCTGAGCTGAAGTCAGACACTCAACCAACTAAGCACCCAGGTGCCCCTAGGGTCTTCAAATTTTTCAATAAAAGCATTTTAAAGATACTTAACATACCCCCACTTGTAATAATACTCTTTAAAGAAAATTTGGAAAATGTTGACTTAAAATGATAGATTAAAGATGGCCACAAGTTCTTAGACATTCCTCTCATCAAGAAGAGTCCCTCTGCTTAAATCTCAGCAGGCTGTGTGAGGGCTTGCCCAATAGAACATGGCAGAAGTGACACTGTGCTAGATACCAGGCCCCACCATAAAATGACTTGCAGTTT